AAAATAAGTTTCTCATGATATGGTATTAGTTTTTGAGACTATAATATTTCAGCATATTTGAGACTACAACCTTTTTCTTATAACTTTTAATTTTATTTTATAAAATCTTATAACAAAAATTCCAACGAAGTGTAGACGTATTTTCAAAAAGTATTATAGTTTTCTTTGCTGAGAATAAGGTTGAGCTTAAAAGCACCTTAGCGCACTTTGGTTTAACGATTATCTCAAAATGGAAAAAAAATTAATAATGCATATGAAAGATGATCTCATAAACTATGAGTACACTTTTGTTTAAACAGTATAAATTAATAAAAGTATGCTTAAACGTTAGAATATTTACAACAACATTAAAATTCAAAAAAGCAAATAAGTGTTTACAGTATAAGATTTGAATGCACGTATACAAGAATGGTAGATGAACTTAGAAGGGTAAGAAAAGAAACTCTAAAGATTACGCGATGTAACATTAAGTAAAAACAAGCAAAAAGGAATAACTGCACTATAAATATGTAGAGATTCTGAAGCACATTAGGGGGTACCCCGATGCTTCATATCGTATTGAAATTAGAAAGTGAACAAGATAGATAAGTTAACTAATTAAAGGTAGAAATCAACTCAATCCGATTACTTTCCAATGAAATTATTTAAAAAGGTAGATGGCTTCAATATCAAGCTCCATGTTAATTCTCAAGAGTTTCCGTTATCATTATAAAACTAGTTAATAGAACGTGATTTATAAGCAAATTGTGGCTTTCCAATTATACTAACTTTAATTATATAATGCGAGGGAGTTTCTTCTTGTGGTGTACGTGTGTTGTACCCCCGTAAGAGGTGTGTGTTTTGCCTGATGAAACGCGTCACTTGTTCTAGGATTTTGAGACTTGGGATGCATGGACACAGCGCGACTATCTTTACGTGTAAAAGGCTTAACGGTACGGCGGCCCAAGATACACGACTCTGGTGAGAAGACCGACGTTAGCTGGACAAGAGAGAATGACGAAATGTTAGTTAGCTCGGGTATGGAGGTATTAAAAGGTTGTATTTAAAGGTATAATGCAGCTAAATGCTTGATCGTTAAATGTATCAGAATTGAGAGTACTGATCCTTTTCTTTGCAAAAAAGTTTTTGACACCTTAGGGTGTCATTAAAGTGAGCGGGTAGAAATCCCCGGTTGCTTAATTAATACAACTGAGAGGTACCTTTAGATCCAACTGATTTGTAAAGAAAGATGTTTTTGATAGTAGCGTGCAAGAGTGATCCTTGGGTATAATCAGTCACGTTTCATGATATTACACCTATGAGTTCTATGTGTTGAATGCGCTACCCACCTGTATTCGTTCCTTGGAATAAGTTAGTTGCTCGCGTTTATCAAATCGTAAGTGCAGTTCAAAAAGTAATTTGTGCGTATTTTTATTGGCTCCGATTGTAATTAATTGTTCATTTGCTGTCTCGGGCCAAAAAATCATTGTAATCCAGGAGTTTGTTTATTGCATAATCAAACCATTTACGACCCTGTTTTTTTTTCGTCACCTTTACGTGGTGTAAGGATCCAAGTGACACTCTCCTTAGTTATTCGCTTCAGTTTTGAGTTGCATTAAGTTATACTTTTTTTTTAAGCTAGAAGACATGACGAACGCGAGGTGGTTATGATTTAGGATTAAGCTCAAAAAATCCGGTAGTGGGCTTCGTTGTGATCAATTGTTTCCGTTAAGGAAATAGGACTCAAGATTTTGTTATAAAGATTACCGTTGGATTACGGAAAAATTACAGTAGTGATGCTAATTTTGATCTAGATTTTCTTCATTTCCTATAGCAATTCATGCTACGCGTTTAATGAACTGATTCCAGTAACAGTTATGCATGCCTTTACATGGGGTTGCCGGTACATATCAAATATATGGGCTCGATCTCGCATTAAAGTAATTTATGAATTTGCATAGCAGTACATTGATAGGAACTTTTTTCCAGAGAAGACAGTTTTTGAAAGAAATCTTCACTTGCCGGGAATCGAACCCACAATCCTTAGAACGGTGTTGTACCAGTAACAAGCACGCTTTCTACTGAGCTAACACCACTTTTAAGATTTTTTATAATAATGATGAAGCTGAAGATAAAGAAATTGTCAAAAACCATAAGGAAGTCTTATTACTAAATCTAGAGTATGCATGGCAAACAATTGTTACGGTAGACAGGTCAAGAATCAATATTTGGACATAATTTTTCGATAGCTTTATTCTTTTTCAAAAGGAAAATTACTTAATTTCGTTTTTCGAAAAGTAGAAATTTTAATTTTCCTTTTGTAAACGACTAAACTTTTTTATTTACACTTTAAAAAAGACAAATTTTATGAATTCAGTCTTTCTAAAATATTTTATCATAAGTATGAACTTTGGAAAGATAAAAGTTTATCTTTTTGACTTTGATCTACATGTATATGAATGTAGAGATGTCAAAAGTCATAATATAATGGAAAATAAAAAATTGGAAAAAACGCATCTTTCAATAATTTGGAAACTTTTCACTAAAATACTGTGGGGATTAGGTGTATACATCCCAAAAAGGTTTTTGTTTCAAATGTGCCAAAGAATATGAAAATATGTATTTTAGACTAAAAAAGAATTTTTACTAATTTGTTTCAAAAAAATTTGTTTTAATAATACCTCACTATATTTTGGTCTGGCAACATGCACTTATTTATGTACAGTAGCACATTTTTTAAATGAGATGGCCTCAAAAAATTTAATCCGAATAATTTTTCCTGTTAAATTTTTGCTTGGCTCTGGACTCAAACACTGTTTTAAAAAAAGCTGCTGTAATATTAGCCATTTAAGCAAATCCTAGAAACTTTTTAATTAAAGACAAACAAAAAAATTCTCTAAATCTTAAAGCACACTCATTAAATTTGGTGTAAAGTCTTGTCATAAAGTCTGTAATCAAGTAAACTTATGTTCATTTTTACATATTAAATACTCCACAAGCTATAAGCAATTGTTTAAACGAAAACGGAAATTTTCAATTTTGTTTTAGACATTTTTTTTGTGTTATTTGGGATGTTTTAAGAAGAAAAAGTCTCTCGAAATTTTTTTCTAAAATGCTCCTAAAAAAACTGTGAATTTCTCAGTTTTACATAATCGTTTAAGTCAATTAAGATGACTCTATAACAGTTGGAAAATTACTACAAATGTAGACACTATAAAGATGACTGTAACAAGTGAAATGGAAAAAAAATTTGTTTACTGTAATAAGGGACTTACAGTAAAATAAACGTTGAAATTAGATAAGTTTGAATGTCAAAAATATAACAAAAATAAACAGCTTTTTAAAAATTCTTTTAATAACTATGTATCATCTTTTGCTGAAATTTTTTTGAACAATATTACAAGGGTCACTTTTCATCTCCCACTTGTTCTGTAATATTTTTACTTTCTGCTATACTGATGATATTATCTTTTGATTTTGGAAACTACATTACCAACTTAATCTTACTTTAAAATTAAAACTTATGAACTGATATCACAGGATAAGCTGCTAAGAAATATTTGCCGCTCGGTCCTTTTCCATTGTGGTTAGCTATTTATTAATGATGTAAGAATACGAATAACAATTAACCTAATTTTTACTGCATATTCATCACAAGACATGAACATGTAATCATAGAATTAATACCAAAATTGACTAATAATCATTATTTTATAAAAACTACTAAATAAGTTACAAATTTTTGTAAAACACATTAAATAAAAAAGTTTTTTATTTAGTTTTTACTATTTTGAATGATAAGTTATTTTCAGAGCATTCACGACAAAAAAATGTGTGTTTTTTTTTTACTGCTAAACACTTTCAATTATAATTAACAAGATCTAAAACTTTTACGCACATAATCTAGCACAAAATCTTTTTGTTATTGGTGTTGGCAATAATCGATTTTCTCATAAATGTTTAAAGATAATTAGCATGATATTTAAAAATGAAACTTTTGTTCACTATTTTACAGTTTTTGCAATTTTACAATTTTTCTGAAAGATGTAAAGGTACAAGAAATTAAATTTTAATTCTTGCAAGTGTCCTAATCCTTTATTAGTTTTATAAACGAGCTTAAAAGAAGAACTGAAAGCATAAATGATTTTTTTTTAATTTTTCATGTAGACTTTCACATCCTAACCTAATGTACTGAATAAAA